GTGAGTTGATGAACCACAATTTCCAAACTTCACCGAGTTTTACTCCTACCTGTGAGAAAAACTGAATGTGCATTGGGGAGGCTGTCAGCTGTCTCTGACCATGCACTCACAGGGCATGGGCTGATGCAGACAGGTTATACTCTACTATCTTTCCTGCCATTGGTGAAGAGAGAAATAGTACTTTGCCAACTCTGCTTTGGTGGAGAACAGAGTCTTACACTACTGCTATCTTGGTCATGGCTCAAGGACCTGATGCTTAGTAGCATTGCTAGGATTTTACCTTTCATATACTCTGACATGCACAGCAACTTGTCTGAGTCTTGATGAAAATCGCTCAAAAATATAGGGTGTACTCTACAGCCCCTCATTTCAGGGTCTCAGAGTAGTGCTGCCTAAGGAAAATTCGGGGAGAAGAAAACTCCGAGGCAAATTAGTTTTGGAGGTGAGGAAATGGTTTTTAATTTGTGCCTAGGCATAAAGATTACAAGACGTGCGCATGTCCCTCTGTACAGATGTCACAATTTATAATATCGTCTGTCCAATCCCAGATGTTTCCACCCTGTGGCTTTTGCCCTGATCCACCCTCAGTCCACTCCTGGGGAATTGGGGCTAGGGGCTTTTCAAGACCCTATTACCATCAATCATCAATTTCTTCAGAGTACAAGGGGCATATATTCACCCAGTTCTTGGCTGTACTTTTGCGGTTCAGGCCAGGATTAGATGTCCTCAAACAGAAGAGCCTAATCTTAAAGAGAGACTAAACATTTCTACTGGAATTCGGGGGTAGAATTGATATAGGGAGCATGGAATGGGGTGATAGGGTTGGGGAATGTGTGTAGTTTCTATGCTAAGGGTAAAGGAATAAGGGCTGCTGCTTCTAAATCTACTTCTACTATATAACTACTTATAAAGCTTATAAAAATTAGAAGAATCAAAAAAAACAAAACAGATGGACCTTAAGGCATCAGCAGAGGCCTTTACATAAATTGGTATCCCTCTGTCTGAGACAGACTGTTTTACGTCATGGCTATTGTTTGCAGATGCAGAGGAAATAAGGAGCAAGCGCCTTCCCTGCACAATCTGACCCAGCTCCTACAGCTCCAGCAACAAAAGGTTGGCACAAGGACCCTGATTTCTTGTAGCAGCCAGCAGAGCTCTCAAGGGCAGAGGATAAAGCAGTGAGCACTTCCATGGACCACCATAGAGACAACATTCTTCTCTGTTTCTCTTAAAAAAACTGGAAATAGTAGGGACATGATCAGCAGTGATGAATTTTGGCTTTTGGCAATGTCAGTGGAGAAGTCCTGGGCTGATATTAGTGGTGGCCTCTCCATGGTGGAAATAAGACACTTGGGCAAGTATTCCCTGTAAGTAATATCAAGTACACTTCTGTTGCCTGTTCAGTAATTACTGTGTGACAAGAAACAGAAGTTTGGTCTCTGGAGCTGTTGGTTTGGCATCCCTTTTGACTGTTAAAAGTGCAGTGCTATATTATTATTTTCTTTCAAGTGAAGTGAACAGTGGATAGTTCCTGGAATCCTCGTTGACTGGTTGCTTAAGTTTTGGGTTTAAATTTTGGGTTCTATTAGTAAGTCCATTTTGGACTACTAAATAGTTATTTGGCTTTATATTTAAAATGAATTTCCCAACTACAGGCTTTGTTGTAAATAAAATACAGAAGGATTCTCACAAATAGATGGAAAAAATGATCTGTCGAGGGAATACAGTTTGGTTCTGTGAATCAGATAAGCTTGTTTTGCCAATTATTTTACTGATTCTTTTTAAGAAATATAAGTTGGAGCACAGTTTTCACCAAAAGAAATCTTGCTGTGATGTCATAGTTTCATGACTGTAATGTCTTTCAGCATTAAAGACATACACTGATGGCTGCTGTAGCATTCATGATGCTTTCTCTATTGTAGGACAGTCAGTAGATGCTATTTTCACATGTACCTCTCCCACAGTGAAGTATCAGTGTTTCTGTGGAGCAGCTCCTTCCTCAGAGGGACAGGGCTTCCTTGCAGCCCCCTGCTTTCCCTTTGCCACTGACCCAGCTCTGAGTATCTGCCTCTTTTCTGTAGCTTCTTTCATTCCTGTGAGAGGCTCATCCCTGAAGGTACCAGTGGGTAGGTTCTTGCTGAAGGATGAGCAGAGATGAGAGGGGCTGGTGCAGTTTAAGGAAGGCATTAATGGTTTCTGCAGGGTTGGTGAAAGGGGATAGCAATGCCAGTGAGCAGGATTCCAGTGTCCCCACCTGCCCTGAAGTGTCTGTGCTCATGACAGAGCACATACCAGTTCTGTGTTGCAGGCAGCATGTTGTTAAAATAATTTTTAAAATTTATTATACTGTTTTAATTTAAAAAAAAGAAGTTGCAATATTAATGGTAACTGTCCCTGTACTCCTTTTAGTGAAGACTGATGGCAATGAAGTCACTAAGTTGCTTGGTTTTTATTTTTCTTTTACATAAATTCTGTGGGTATTACACAAATAATCATTTAGACAATCACAGAGGTGACAAACAGCAAAAATTAGTTAATGTACTGTTGTGATATTTTGCTCAGTCTTCTTTTTCAAAATTATTCCTTATAATTTTTTTTTCTTTTGAGTTGTTGGTGGGAGAAATCATTAGGATTTTATAGTTTGTTACGGTCAGCATTGTGCTCTCTGTACAGAAATCTGTCTTATTTTTTTCAGTTATGGGCTGAAATTTTTCTGATATTCTAAAAGCGTGCAGTTGTCCTTCAGTTACCTGCTATTCAAATTCCCCCATAGATTTAATTTCATATGTTCTTCTTGGTATTGATCAATCTGACCTCATGAGAGGTGTGTTTTACCCTTCAGTAAACACTTGCCGTGGAAAAGGCTGAAAGGGATTTTAAAATAATCAATCATACAAACCATTGTCTGAAATAATCAATGTAAATTGGTTAACTGCCACTTAATCTGTTTGAATGAAGATGATCTCAGTATTTGTGTAGCATCATTGGAACAGTGCATCTTATGTCCTATCCCATAGACCCCAAAGTGCTTCATCTGGTTTTTCACCCATTTTGACACAAGGTAGTATGAATAAAGTATGGGGTTACCTTGCAATTACCTGTAACCCGAAGGAGAGATTAATAACAGAATAACAATGTTTTTGCATTATTAACTTTGGGTGATTATATTAGGTAGGAGTAGCGTTTCCTGGAAATTGACTTTTTTGCATTTTTTGAGGTTGTTTGTGGAGATTATTTTTTCTAGATAGAATGAGTGCTATATAAACAGTGGAAAAAGAAAATGTTTTTCTTGAAATGCCTGAGTAAATAAACTTACTGATTTGTGGCATATCTTCTATTTGGCAAACACAGATAATGAATCTACCATGAATGAACCTGACATTGAAATTACTACCTCTCTATTTGCCCCCACAACTTGGCCCCACAACTATGTAATCCTTTTTTCTCATATCATTTTCCTAAAAATCACATCAGGTAGATACATCTTCAGAGAAAAAATTTTATGTTTAATTGCTGTAGAATTTTGTTGCAGGTAACAACTTACTGGCTGCTTGATGGTTGCTCAGTATGTTATAGTGATTAAGTGGCATTCTCTTCAGTTTACTCTTAACTAATCTTGGAAATGAAAATGGTTTCTTATTTCCATTTATCTATTTCTTCTCTTAAGAAGAGGCATTTGCAGTAGGCATGCTAATTTGTGTTTTGGTGTATTTTTGGAGACCAGTCTTTCCAGCACTACAGAGGTTTCAGAACATCTGCCAATACCTGATTACTGGTCATGCGGTGGGCATCCTCAAGAGTTCAAAAGTGAAGATCAGCAACATAAAACGGACAAATACACACATTTTCATCCCTTCTCCTCTTCTTCCCATCCCACCCCCCTGCCTGATAGATGGACTTCTAATTTCGTTGTGTAATAAATATTTTAATTTATATTTTTAAGTGGATGTCTAGGTCATTTTGTTGTCGGCATAAGTAACGGTTTATGACTAGAAGAAAAAATATGAAAAGACAAGGAGTCTTGGCCTTATGTAAAGAAAGCATTTCAATTCTAGGAAATGGGCTGAAAAAAATGGCAAGAAAGTTAGTGGTAAACTTATGTGTAATAGATTTAACATGACTGACAAAGCAAAGTCTTTTTACATCTAGTCAGAAAACTAAATATTCCTCTTCTGGCTAGATGTAAAACACATTAGTGACACTGAAGGGCATTGAAATATATTGACCCTGAAAATTTCATTTTACATTGAAGTATGAGAAGAGAGAATACGGAAGAGATTTGGTATACTTTTTTTTCAAAGTCTTAAACTTAATGGACCTCTAATACAGTACTTCAAAAATGTATCTTTTAGCATTATAATTTTTTTTTTGCAGTAAACATAATGAATAAACATAGCTTAATTTAAGTAAATTTGTCAAATAGTATTTATAACAGCAATATGAGACCAAAATTGCATGTTTGCTTCACAGGGGGCTATAGTTCATAAACCCTCATAACAAAGGAGACATAAACAGAGGGAAAAAATCAAAAGTTGAAGATGTATATAATTTATATAATCTTGGATGTCCAGTACACAGTCTGCAGCGCTTGGCTCTGCTGGGGAAGGGCTGGGGCTTACTGAGACCCTGACTCCTGGTGACAGTCTCAGTCCTGTGGTAGAGAAGGGGGAATTGTACCAGACTTCGTGAAGTAGCCAGGTGCGTGGGTTGAGACTGAAGTAACACCTCCCCACCAGTACCTCATACATAAACACTTGCCACATTTTGAATCAGGCTGTCAAGTCTTTTGATAATGACTACAGAGTGGGATAGTGTTTGGACAAGGGCTGGGAATATAACCTAATTGTGAATGAACCTACTGATTCATTGCAGGGTGGCCACATCTGGGCTTGCAGATTCGATTCAGAGTTGTTCTTCATGCACAGTTTTTAAACTAGAGAAGCTTGGATATGTTTTGTAATACCATAACACTGTATTTTCTTTTCATTTTTTCCATCTAGTTTTATCTCAGGACCTTGAGAATAAAATACACATGGCACAGATCGTAACATTTTTTCAGATGCTGTTAGTTCTGCTACTTCATGATTACATCTCAGCTGAAGTTGGGGAAACAAGAGCAAGTAGGTCTTAATTTTTGCATTTCAGATAACTGCCACTTCAAAGAATACCTTGAATTTTTAGTATCCATTTTTGATGTTGATGGTGATTTTCTTCCAGTATAATTTTCCTAGTGAAAATCCTATCATATGTGAGAAACAGCTTAAATATCTTATCTCTCCTTTAGGAGGGGAATATCCTTATTTCTCCTTTGTGTCTTGGAAGTGCTCAAGGGGGCAGATGGAACTGTAAAGCTCCAATCTTGATTTAAAGTTATGTCTTGAGTATTTGTATTTTCATTTCTTCAGAAGTCATGTTCTGAATATCTTAATGTTATGTGAGAAACTGAATAAGGAAAAGTAAAGATTCCATGGATGGAAGCTGAGATAACCTCAGTTCTGGGACAGACCTCCTTGCGTATTCTCCAAAATTAGCATCTCAACCCCCATCAAATCATGTTTTGTACTCTAAATCTGGTTTATAGAAAAGAAAACATTAAAGCAAGGTAGTTTTTTGAAAGATAAAGTGACTGAATAAAAGGAATGTGGAAGAATTAATTTCCTCTGGCCGTGATACTTTCAGGGTAAGTCTTTTTCCTCTAGTTTTGCTCTCAATGCAGCAATTTTCACTACTCCATATTAGCAATTTTCAAACTCCATAAAATTCCTTTTCGTCTCTAGACTTTCAGATACCAGGTTAGATCTGTGTGGCTTACACAAACAATAAACTCCTCTGATTTTTTTTTCAAATGGAATGTATTTGTCAATATAGATCCTAATGCAAACAGCAATTAATAGTACAAACATTTACTCTGGAAGAAGAAAGTGGAAGTGTTCATTAAAATATTAATTTGATTTTTATCATTTTTTAGGTTGCAGAACTGCTCCAGCGGATTTAGTTTTTATCTTAGATGGCTCTTACAGTGTTGGCCCAGAAAACTTTGAAATAATCAAAAGTTGGCTTGTCAATATTACAAGAAATTTTGACATAGGGCCAAAGTTTATTCAAGTTGGAGTTGTCCAGTACAGTGATTACCCTGTACTTGAAATTCCCCTTGGAACTCATGAATCCACTGAGAACCTCATCAGGGAAATGGAGTCCATACACTATCTGGGAGGAAATACAAGAACAGGAAGAGCTATTCAGTTTGCTTATGACCATCTTTTTGCAAAATCTTCAAGATTTTTAACAAAAATAGCGGTTGTTCTCACTGATGGAAAGTCCCAAGATGAAGTCAAAGATGTAGCAGCAGAAGCAAGGAAAAATAAAATCACTTTGTTTGCTATTGGTGTTGGCTCAGAAATTGAAGAGGATGAACTTAAAGCTATTGCCAACAAACCTTCATCAACTTACGTATTTTATGTTGAAGATTATATTGCAATATCAAGAATTAAAGAAGTTATAAAACAGAAACTCTGTGAAGGTAAGTGCTTGTAAAATATCTTAAGTGTGCAAAATGTTGTTCTGTCCACATATTTCTTAATTTCACAAGCAGAATATATGATAAATGAAACCTAAAGGACTTGATAATCTTTACTCTGATCTTCTTTCATTTTGGCCTCAAAATCAAAATCACTCCCCGAAGTTTTGGAGTGGTTTTCCCTGTCATGCAAAGAGGTATATTTGGGAAAGATATGATGTTTTGACCCAGTACGTGTTTAATTTCAATATGTATCCTTTTGCGCTAAGCCTAATTTTTTTTTCATTGCTGAAGTTTAGAAACACTAAAACAGTTGAGCAATTCTTATACTGCTGAGAATATAGGGTTTACTTTGTTGTTTTTCCAATTGCAACTGATACTCATGCACAATCTAGCATTTCTTCTTGACAGGTGAGAGAATAGCCTGCCATTACAAACAAGAGTTCTTATGAATACATACTTCTTCTAGTACGTATTGAAAAACCCAGAAGACTCTTGGCAAAAATCATAGAATCACAGAATGGTTTGGGTTGGAAGCAACCTTAAAGACCATCTTGCTCCAACCCCCCTGCCATGGACAGGGACATCTTCCACTAGACCAGATAGCTCCAAGCCCCATCCAACCTGGCCTGGAATCCTTTCAGGGATGGGGCGTCCATAGCTTCTTCTCTGGGTAACCTGTTCTAGTGTGTCACCACCCTGACAGTAAAGACTTTTTTCCTAATATCTAATCTAATCCTACTACTTTGCATTTTAAAGCCATTTCCCTTTGTCCTGTGACTTCAGGCCCTGTGAAAAGTCCCTCTGCAGCTTCCTTGTAAGCCCTCAGGTGCTGGAAGGCTGCTCTAAGGTCTCCCTTCTCTTCAGCCTTCTGTTCTCCAGGCTGAACAACCCCAACTCTCTCAGCCTGTCTTTATAGAAGAGGTGTTCCAACCCTCTAATTATCTTCACGGCCTCCTCTGGACTTGCTCCAGCAGGTCCACATCCTTCTTGTATAGGGGGCCCCAGACCTGCACACAGCATTCCAGGTGAAGCAAACACATGGAGTTGTACCAAACTGTTATGATCTTTCTTAGAAGGATTTTATTTAAGAATTAGGCAAGATGAACATGGTAAAGTGCCTTTTTAGCTTTAGAATACTAGCAGCATTATTGCATTGAGTTTTCCGTTAATTTTGTAAAACAATGGCTTTCCCATATATATATAAAAGATAGCAAGTTGCTTCTAAAATGTATCACTCAGACTCTATTATATCGTGTTATTTTGTACATTTTATTATCAAGAATTGATGCAAGTTCTATTTCAGTTCTACCATATTTCCGCACTTAGTAAGAGAAAATATTTTTGTTTGCTCTCAGTTTGAGTATGGACTTCATTGAAAAAATATGGTGATACTTTTGTTGAGGATATTAGTGTTTATTTCTTGATACATCAAATGAAATCATAATAATTCCTTGTGGCTGATGTAATAAGGTGATCAGTCCAAAAATTAGCTAAGTGCAGCTAAATTCTTTAATAGAGCTTCATGCAGAGAGAAATTCCCCTAAATAAACACAATACTTTCTTTAAATAAAGTTTAGAAGTGACATTATATTTAATCAGATTTCAGAATTAAGTTAACTAGTATCCTTTAAAATTCAGCTGCAATATTTCACAGTAATCTGTGAATGTTGGCTACTTGTACAAACATGTACTTACTGTTTCACTTGAAGTGACCCTTTGCTTCTTCCCCCTGATGTCGTGCACTTCCCTCACATTAGCACTGAGATGCCTCTCTCATACTTGGCAGCTTCATTTCTAACCGCAGTGTCTTTAGCAAGTGAACTGCAAGACTAGTAAACTGTAAATTTTATACTGAGTTGTGAATGATTTTATTCATTTATTTATTTACTGATTATCATGTTGTTACGATTCACTTTGACTGTGGGAGAGGAAGTTCCATGAGGGCCAAGCAGCAATGATTTGTCTGCAGTCAACCACGTGAAGCTACCTGAAAATTTTGCAATACTCTCTTCATGGTCTCTGTTTAAATATCTAAAAAAAAGCTAGCTTTTACTGTATGGCATTTTAAAATTCATCATCATATGAACATAGGTGTAAGACTACAGGGACAATATCTCCTTTCTGGACAAAGGAGGCTAAGGTTTGCTGGTTCTTGTAGCAAGTATTGCTATTAGGAATGGGCTTGTGGATTTTGCTGAGAGTGTGCCTTTTAGGGTACCTGTAGGGTGAAAGACTTGCTAAACATGCCCAAATATTTAAGGAATATTTAATATTTATTCTGAAAGTTGAATGTTCCTATAGTATCAATATTCTATAGCAAAAAAAGAAAAAAGATTGTGTGTCAGGAGTGCATTTAAAAGAAAACAATACAGACCTCAGAAAGTATGTCTGGAGGATGCAGAGAAAAGTTCCTTTGTGGTAGATACTGTGAGTTAACATCAAAAAGTTATTTCATGCTTTAGCAAGGAAAATAAAGCATATGAAAATTGTAAAAATACTAAGAGGCAACAAAATTTCAGAATAGGCTCAAGAGTTGATGTGACTGGTACTATGGACTAGAAATACGACCCCGTTTTCCATGGAAGACAGTTCTTAATTTTGCCATTGATTTCTGCATCCGGTATAATGGCTTAGTTAGTTATCAAAATAGCCCTGCCAGAAAATGGTCCAGAAGACCCAAAAATGTCTACCTGACTGGGAATTTTTTATGTAATTCTTCAATATGCCATCAGAAAGAAAGAATATTTTCTTAATGCGTAATTTTATACATGCTTAACTTGGTTTGTGTTGGTTTGGAACAGTTACTTTGTCATTGATCTGTAATAATGGCCCTCTCACATAAAATAATCCTAATTCTGCATTTAGTTTTTGATTTTACACCTATTTCTAATACTGTAACTGGTAAGAGACACTTGTGTTCATTTTCTTCTCAATGTATATGTATATGATTATCTGTAATCTGATATGACCGTTATTCAACTTTGAAGTAAATGTTTAGAAATATTTCCATGATAACAATGCACAGTTGAAGAAACCTGAAAAAAAGTAGTGTTATTACTCTTACTTAATATCATGTTGACTCAAATACTGCATCTGTATTTTGAGAAGAGTGAGAAGGAAAGTTGTGTTGGACTTTGTATTTCCTTTTTTCTTTTGGAAGCATTCATTTCCAAAATGTAGGAAGACTTCTTGCAATTCTTTCTTGTAGAACAGAGAGATAACATATTTTTAATTTGGGAGTCAGGTGTCATTTTGCTGTTGGGAGGAAAAGAAAACTAAGGAGAGTTTAAGTGGCTTCTTGCTGCTGCCCCAAGTACCTGTGACACGTCTTCTTAGAGCAGATTGTCTTTTCCCACCACAGATAGTTTGTGCAGGCAATTCGCTGAATTTTCTTAGAGTTTGTATATCGTGCCTCACCCACCAGAATGGGGTATCTTCTGAGTGCCCTTGGATTAGTTGGAAAGGGAAGTCATGAAGCGTTTCTCATATTATAAAAACGAGCCAGTCTAGACCTTTGAGTTAATAATTCCCTGGCACAGGGACATGACTTTTCTAGCCCATAGCTGGTCCACATAGAGATGACAGAACTCTCCAACCCTTCTTTGGAATGTATTCCTAACCTCTTCCCTGTCTATGAACTTATGCTTTTCTGAAGAAACAATGGGAAATGAATAAAGAAAATGTATTTATTACAACTAGTTTAACATAATTTTAATAAAACTAAAATTTTTTCATCAGTTTATAATTCTAATACAACGTATGCTGTAGCATTAAATTTCACTCTCCTATCATATTTTATTTTTTTTTGAGACAGCTTAGGTCCACTGCCTAGTAACGTTTTTGTGTAAAGAGAATTAACCAGAGATAACATGCAGTTAACTTAAATTTCCACAGAAAATATATCACTCACTGTTTGTCCAGTGAGAATAGCTTCCAGCACTACAGGCTGGGCACAGAGTGGCTGGAAAGCAGCCAGGCAGAAAGGGACCTGGGGGTACTAATTGACAGGAAGCTCAGCATGAGCCAACAGTGTGCCCAGGTGGCCAAGAAGGCCAATGGGATCTTGTCCTGTATCAAAAATAGCGTGGCCAGCAGGAGCAGGGAAGTGATACTTCCCCTGTACTCTGCGTTGGTGAGGCCACACCTTGAGTATTGTGTTCAGTTCTGGGCCCCTCAGTTCAGAAAGGATATTGAGGTGCTGGAGCGGGTCCAGAGAAGAGCAACAAGGCTGGTGAAGGGACTGGAGCATAAGTCCTATGGGGAGAGGCTGAGGGAGCTGGGGTTGTTTAGCCTGGAGAAGAGGAGGCTCAGAGGTGACCTCATCACCGTCTATAACTACCTGAAGGGAAGTTCTAGCCAGGTGGGGGTTGGTCTCTTCTCTCAGGTACTCAGCAATAGGACAAGGGGGCACGGGCTTAAGCTCCGCCAGGGGAAATTTAAGTTGGATATCAGGAGAAAATTTTTTACAGAGAGAGTAATCAGGCATTGGAATGGGCTGCCCAGGGAGGTGGTGGATTCACCATCCCTGGAGATTTTTAAACGCAGATTGGACGTGGCACTGAGTGCCATGATGTAGTAAATGGACTGGATTTGGACCAAGGGTTGGACTCGATGATCTCGGAGGTCTTTTCCAACCCAATTGATTCTATGATTCTATGATTCTATGATTCTATGATTCAGTGTAACAGACAAAATAGCTCAGAGTCTATTTCGTGTGAAAGAAGATGAAAAAAACAGTTGTAGATAATTTTACCTTTGTCCATTTTCAAACTGATTTTATAGTTGGGGGGAATGCTGAATCCAAATTATTAGTGCACTGTGGAAATCAACATCTATAATTTTATAGCATTTTGAAACCATATAATTTTAGAAATTAAATTCAATATTTTTATTAGCCAGATATTGTAATACCAATGAACTAGTTAGTGACAATTCAAAATAGTATGTGAATGTAATTGCAGTAAAATACGTCTTAGTATTCTTGCTTCAAGTCCCTGAGAATTCTGTGTATGACTTCTCTCATGTTGTACTTAACTGACAGTTCTCTGTTTATTTCTTGAAAGGCAGATACAAAAAATTAGTTAGGTTGAAACTTACTTTTTGAAAGTTTTAAATCATATTTTGAACTATCCTTGCATTTATTACTTTGCAGAATCTGTTTGTCCAACAAGAATTCCAGTGGCAGCTCGAGATGAAAAAGGATTTGACATTCTTGTAGGATTAGGTGTGAAGAAAAAGGTTAAAAAGAGAATTCAAATACCAACAACTAATGCAAAAGCTTATGAAGTAACACCACGTGTTGACCTCTCAGAATTGACCAGGTATTGAAATTTATAAATACACTTCTATACTTAGTAATTTTTTTTTTTTGCTTTAAGTGAGAGAGAGTTATTTTAAGATTTATATGAATATTAAAGTACTGTTTCTTTTTTTCCCCTCTTCTCCCTTACTTAGGAACGTGTTTCCAGAAGGTCTTCCTCCATCTTATGTGTTTGTTTCCACTCAGAGATTTAAAGTAAAAAAGACATGGGATTTGTGGAGAATTTTGAGTCTGGATAAGAGACCACAGATATCAGTCACTATTAACGGAGAAGAGAAAACACTATCATTCACTACAACAAGTTTAATAAATGGCACCCAAGTTCTTACTTTTGCTGCACCTCATGTAAAGGTAAGGAGTATGTTATCTTCCTGCTGGAATACTTATTTAAATACACATTATTCCATTATTCCCCATTTGTCCAAACCACTTGTATTGTTTTCTAGTGTAATCTGAAGGTTCTCTTTCAGTCTTCAATAATTTCCAGTGAAATATTCAAATCTTGTAAGAAGGATTGTCTTGGTTGCAGATGAGACAGAGGGATAGGGACTGAATGTCTCTACTCGTGCATTTATAGCAGTATAGGAATATATGCAGCCCAGAGATCACCATTCCTGCCACGGGGAGTGTTATTTAAGTGAACAGAGATTCAGCAGACAAAGAGTGGGAAGGATTTACCGCTGGAGTGCTTCATGACCAAATGGGTTCAACTTTCCTGGGAAGCAAGGGCCTACATTTGAATCCCTACTCTAAGTCAGACTGAAGGAATTTCAAATTAAATCCTCTGTGAAGGAAGGACTCCTATCCAAGGAATAGGTCTTAATTACTAAGCTTTTCCTAGGGAGAGGTATTTCATTCTTCTGTTATTGGATGGAGAATTTTTGCTTTTTTCTTTCCAAATTTCCTCTACTTTATTATAATTATTAGTAAGGGAAATAAATTTTATTATTTTTTAAGAAGCTGTGTTAAACTTAACTTACTGGAAATTGTTAAAAAATTCAGTTTCAAGTCAGTCAAAAAATTAATATTTAAATGTTTCTGGGAGCTACAGTGACAAATCAGTCGCATTCTTTCAGTCCCAAATATCCATGAACTTCACCATGAAAACACAACTTTTGTGATTTTTTTCTTTTGTGTTTCTCTGTGCTTGCATTGCTATTATGGAAAACAATGAATTCATGGCTTTTTTAGAGCTGTATGTCTCTAAGCATGATATAAATGTCAATATGCTCTTAATTAACCTTTTTATTTAATAAACATTTATGATAATTTATCTCTTTAACTGGAAAATGGAAAGATTATATATTCTGATCCGTTGTTTGTTTTATCTTGTAATGAGAGCCATTGTTTTTATTTATTTACAATCTATGTAAGAAAATAAAATGGAAACAGAGGTACTTTTATAGCGTGTATTACTATTAAGTCAAATAAACTTAATCTCTCTATATGTCTAAAAAAGATAACAAAGATGTATTACTTAATGAAAGATGCGTATTTCAGTTTACTCTTATTAATACCAATTTAGTGTGGGATTAATCTCTGTGCAATTTAGCATCTAGGCTAGGCTAGGTTAAAGAACTAGGTTGTTTTTGAAATTAATAGATAGACTCAGGAAGAAGATGTTCCTTCCCATGTTGAATTTTATTTCTAAACTCTGTGAGATAAATGCTTTAAAGGTATCTCTCGCTTTCTATTACTTGTAGAATTATGTAATTTGTTTGATTTTCAAGCTTTAGAAACCTGAGGTTTTGTAGAGTATTGTCTGGTTTATTCATTGCAATATTGTGATCCTTTCTGCCATGTCATCTTTTTTTTCATAAGAGATTAAGTCAAAAAACTTTCAATTACCAGTTTGTTTTCACCATGGTTTGTGATCTGAAGGGTTTGAGTCATTATACCATTGCTGAAAAAAAAAGAGTTCAGGCTGCATATTTTGAACAAATACAGGTTTGGACATGTTCAAGACCACAGACTAAAGAGATCTATGTGAGTTATAAAATAATTTTGAAATAGGGATTTATTATTACTAATTGTCATCTCAATTACGGTATTACTTGGCAATACTTTTTTGCCTATACAGTTTATGACTATTTGTATGTAAAACCTGTAACACTGATCATCTCAACCACCAACAGTAGTTTTAAGTATTCAAATACAGTTTTATTGTTATTTAAATTTGAGACGTTTTGTTTAAAATAATTCTGTATTCTTTGTTTTCCTTAGATTTTGTTTGATGAAGGCTGGCATCAAATTCGTCTTTTAGTAACAGAAGACTCTGTAACTTTGTTGATAGATGGCCAAGAAATTGAAACTAAGCCATTGCATCCCGTTTTAGGTATTTACATCAGTGGCCTAACCCAAATAGGAAAGTATTCTGGAAAGGAGGAAACAGTACAGGTAAGCATATGCTAAAACTACAATAATCCAGTAATTCTACTGTAGATTAATATTACATTGGCGTATTCTGTTTCCTTGAGCTTACTCTTCTAATTTACAGTAGACTGAAATTTATTATACAAAATCCTACTACTTAAAGAGAGAACAAAAATGACCATGAGGACTCAGCACAACTGATGTATCCTGTGTGATGGGTGATGCAACGTGGTTGCCTGAATTGGAGAAACAGTGTCTGAAAGCAGGGAATTTCCTCTGTGCTTTCCTTCCATCAATATATGGGTTATGCTCGTAAAAGAGGGAGAAAACGAAATTTTGATGAAGTTTCTTTCTCCTCACTTTGCAATCACGAGAGTTTATGCTAGAAAAACTGACAGAGGTTTCATGTTTTTGGAATATAGCAGCAAAGCAGAATGGCACAAACTTTTGTTTTTCTGATGCCAGTGTTTTTATTGGTAGCTTTTTAAAGATTTAATTTGTACGCTAAACTCTAAATGAAATTCTTTTAAGCATCAGAGATGCTTCTAATGCTTCACCAGAAATTACTAATCCTACATCTAGTACAGGCAAGTCAGTGCTGGAGCATCATCCTAGGCTGTTAAGGTAAAAAAAGCAAAACGTTGTTTTTCCCTGCACTTGTAACTTGTTTCTGTGATGATACGGGCAGCCACTGTAGTTCATGCTGGGTATGTTTGGATTTATTGCAAAGGATTAAGGGCAGTGATTTCTGTTATTTTAGAAACAAAAATCTTGGATTGATTATTTTGCTTTAAATAATTCTGTTACAGTATGTTTAATTGGTTGTGCGTGAGTTGCCTGACTAAAAATGTTTCTATATCTTTAATTGACTTTTAACTGTAGCGAACACACAGAGCTCTAAAGAGTCTTTATGTTTTGAATTATAGTTTGATATACAAAAACTGCGAATCTACTGTGACCCAGAGCAAAATAATAGAGAAACAGTCTGTGAGATCCCAGGATTTGTGAGTATGATAGATGAAGAGGACTGCTTGGTTGCTTTTACAAACTGCTGTTTAAAGCTGACTTAATGAAGTCTTAAAATAAATAGTACTACATTTTTTCAGCTGGTGCAAACACATGCTTGTTACCTGTGCAATACCAAGTGACACAAACCTTGTCTGTTTTCAGCCTTATTTTTCACAAAGCACTTAAAAAGTTTTTTTAGTTTAGATATTTGATGGTGTAAATTTGACACCAGTGTAGAAGAATCTCAGGATCTTTTGTTAAAATTTCAGATTTTAAACATTATATATTAATAAAACTTCTATGTCATGATAGTGTAAAATTCATTAAATATGACTTTTTAACTTATCTGATATACTTTTTGCTACTTGTCAGGTCATTTAGACTGAAATTTTGGTACATAACTGAAAAACCTGTATTTCTAAATCACTTTCTCCTGTCAGAAATATCTATGCTGAGGTCTATGATAAATATCCTGCTATCTGAAATGTTGCCAAGATTTCCAGAAGTGTGTTGTGAATAAGACAAAATAAAATTCTCTTCAGGATTTTATAATTTATATACACAATTAGGAAACTTATGGGGATCCATCGACCCTCTCTTTGTCCTCTTACTTACAGTTAATAATGTAATAAAATGTTAAACGTGCAAACAGCTTTGGAAACTGTTCATGTCTGACAGTTGGAGCCGAATTTAAGCATTCAGTTTCCATCTCAAAATAAAAGCGGGAGATTGATTTATGCATGCAGATTCCTTCTGCATGTATAAATACTCTCCTTTGTTTAGTGTCTAAAACTGTGCTAAAGATTATCAGCCACCAGTGTCTTACTATGTAGGCCCATATTCTTTGTGTTGTGATTTGATTTAGTATCAGGACCATTTTGCTTGTTTGACAATAGAACTGTGGAATCTTCAGCATCCAGATTTTATTTTTTTTCCAGACTGGCACAGGCTGCCAGCTAGTCTGTTTTTCTTCTTTTCATTTGGGGCCAGTGTGTCTATTGCAGTCAACATCCTTATTAAAATTATTTTTGAAAAAGCTCACAACTTTCAATTAAGCAACAAGTAGGTGGCTGGATTATTAGCTGTTCTGAAATCTGACTGTGTAGGTCAAGAACTAATGGTTTCAGGAACGCTTTTGTAAAATTAGCTTTCAGTCTCGAACAAAATACAGTATTTGGCTAGTTAACTGCACCACATCTCTTTTTGTTCTTTACAAATTAAAAGCAGGATATGACAAGTAAACAAATGAAAAATATTTTACATAAAGAAAGCAAGTGAAAAAAATAAAAAGTCTGTCAAATCTTACATTCTCTGCTATTTGGCCAGAAGTCCAAGCCAAAAATTTGATTTTTGACATTTTAATTTCACTTGCTGTTGTTTTTAGTTAAATTTGGACTTTACCCATTAAATTCTGGACTTTTTCAGAAAATAAAAATGTTGCATGATCTCCACGGAGGAATATGCACTTTGTGGTTGTATTCTGTCGGTGTGGTTGTGTCAGAGCTGCTGAAATAAGCAGAGACTGTATGTACTAATTACAGCCCAAATTCATCCCCTTTCCTAGAGATACCTGGCTGCATACCTGGCTGCATAGTAATTTTAAGCTCCTTTGTGATCTGTGGAGAAAAATGACCTTCTCTAGAGGTTCCTTATGCTGAAAATTGATAACATAAGAAGCTGTCTCTCTCCACAGAGTGTGTAGGGAATCTGTGGTGGTTACATCCATTAGAAAATTCCTGTAATGGTGCAGCTACTGGTAGCTGCTAAACCATTAAGACAGACAATTTTGTGCTTGCTATGCTGGAATACTTGGGGATGGATTGTTCCGTGATGTTTCAGATACTGAAAAAAAAAAAAATCAATAGATAGCAAAGTCTAATGCAGTCATGTAGGACAGCAAGAAACAGTCAGCCTTGCTGCTGTGCTGCTCTGTGTTTTCCCAGATGTGAATTCAGGCAGAGATCAGAGATTGCAGAAATATTTTGGTACATTCTCTGACATAAATGAATAAGCAGAGGAGTTTTTTGATGAGAAGTTACTCTTGGTAAGAGATTTGACCCAAACGTAGACATTAATTGTGTCAATATTGACATGGTTTATTAATTCTAATTTTGTCAGTGCTTTTAAATATTGCTACTGGTAGCTCCTTTTGAGCTTAACAACAAAATAAGTTAAAATTATTTCATATGTGTTGATAGCAGCTGCACATAAGTCTGAGAAAGTCTAAAAATTTGAATTACAATATCTTGGTAGTTACAACCTTAAAGTTATGATTGGTTTTGATAGTGTTGTTAATCCAGAATTAATGGATTTTGCTTTTTACAACTATTCCTGTGCCCTTAAACTGTGTTTCTTCTTGTTTCAGAATGGAGAGGTAGGCTCGATCCTAAACTACTCAAACTCAGTTTAAGGTAGTATTTGACTTTATATAAGCTTCTTATTATTCTAGGTAATAATTGTTTTCAAAGGGGAGCAGAGATTTGCTAATCTTAAAAGTGCTGGATTTCCATTAATTGAACTCTCATCAATAGATAAATTCAAAATAATTTTTCTGAAGAAATGCATGTTTATTAGAATAAGTGGCCTGATTTTTTTTCTCAGTTCGATTCAGTTGCTCCTATTTGCGGGCTGGATACTGTTGCCAAGGGATGGGGATACGCACGGTCAGGTAGCTGTTACCCGCATGGTGCTCATGGGAGCTCCCTGACCAGGAGCTTGTCTGAAGGCTTGATATAGATAGTTTCCTTAACCTTCCTTGAAATTCCAATTGGTACCATTGCAAGGAAAATGGGGATTTGTGTTTTGATCAGTCATTTGACTCTAGGAAAGAATTCCATTCAGAGAACATTGTGTAAAAAAATCTTAGTTATTTTAGAAAATATGAGTAAAATGTTATGGAAAGTGGTTTAGATAATAAAAATCTGCATTTTTGTAGCTTGGATTGTTAAATTTTTGCCTTCCCATAGCTCTAAGAACTTCCTGGGTGAAAAAGAATTCAGTGAGTCTTACTTCTGCATATAGATTTAGTACAGATGTACCTGTATTTTGGATTATATTTGATAATTGATCACACTTAAAATTATTAATATAAATTGGTTTAGGAGAAGAGTTTTTCATGTTGCAAGATTTAAAATTATCAAACTATATGACAAAATATTTGTGAAAAAACCCCCACAAAGTTAGAGGTATCAGCCCAGTATTGGTACTTTGTTGTTTGTTTTTATTCTGGATAAAATAGTGAAATCATGCATGAAAATTAGTTGGAGGGCAATATTCAGATAAAGAGAAGTTCCAGCCGAACAAAGGAGTGAAAACCAGGACCCAAGGTAAAGCCAAGCTAAGGAAAATCAACTTCATATGATGTTATGATATATTTGTTGAATGCTTTTGGCATATGTTTTGATGGCTGGTTTAACTCTTGGTAGTGCATGAATGGTCCTAGTGATGTAGGCTCAACACCTGCCCCCTGCATATGCCCACCAGGAAAGCAAGGACCTCCAGGCCCCAAAGTAAGTCTTTATTCTGTCTTGTTGAGCACAGTATTTTTTTTTTTAATTTTATTTATTTTCAGATCTTTTGTTGGCCAGTCATAATTAGGCAGATTGAAAAAGTAGGGGCAAATTCTCCTAGTTCTGTTTTCTAGTGCATGAATATAGTGATTAGGATCCTCAAGGACAGGTTTTGCTGCCATAACTCCTAATAAAACAAATATATCTTCTGTTTTTTAAGGAAGATGTTCATGGGTGCAAAATTATGTTTCTTTGCTACTCTTCAACTAATGATGCTGCACTGTTAGTTGTTTGAGAATTAAATGATTTGCTAAAAAAAGTCTTTTTATTCGGAGGGTTTTTTTCCTTCTTTGTAAAAGAAGGAAATAGATGTTTACTGGGAGACTTCCACCTCAGCTGTTCTGATGACATCCCTTCAGTGCTGAAGAGCGAAAATGAGAACCAGACTGGAGTTGCAAATGTCTAACATGGCAAACTTAAATCCCTAGTATTTTGCTGTAGTACCTTTCTCAATGACTGTGCTAAACTTACAAGTGTAGACAAGAAAACCCCAGACCACTTGTCTTTCATTAAGCAAGTGAATAAAAAACCCTCTGCTCTCATTGTATAAGAGGTTACAGTATGCTGCAGCTAACTCAAGTCAAAAGGCTTATTGTTACAGTGGTAAAGATTTCTGATGAGGGAATTGGAATCCACAATATGGAGATCATAATTATTATTTCATGTAATAGAATTTTTGTGGTTTTTTACCTTTTTTTTCTTTTCAACATATATAAGATAGAGAGACTAAAGTATTTATCATTTAAAAAAATTGAAAACTACTTCCTGTAAAGTATGAAGGAGTATGAAATGTCAGAATTAGGGTAACCTATACAATTTTTTTAGACTGCTTCTTCATGTGCAATCTTTCAGCAGAATTGCAGTATAATATTTTTTTGGGGATAACTGAATAATACAGGTGACAAGATGCTGCCTAACCCAGAATGCTGCAGAAAGAGTGAAAAGGATACCAATTTAAGATTGAAAAGGTTATCTTAGTTATGATATTTCTTAACTTTTGAACACTGAACTCTGGAACCATATAAATTTAAACTTTATTTCTGTGTTTGTGATATTAATGGGCTACAATAAAACTAATGAAATCAAAACAATTTAAAAAAACAGTAACTGATATTTTAAGCTTTTCAAGTTAAAGCATAAAATTTCCTCATTTAAATAGTGTATTTGAAAGCAGATTTATTATTGATCAAATGCCAAACCTGGACTTCTTAATTTGGATCACAATAATTCTGGGTAACCTATTATTAATTTAGCAAACAGTAACTGTTAGGCATTTTTAAAGGGACATTATTCTATATCCTTTCCCCTTTAGTTCAGCGTTACATTTCTGTGGTTTATATGTGAAAATAAGTTTTTTCATAGTCACATTGAAAGCTAGTTTCCTGTTTCCCTTTTAATGTCCTCCTTGTTTATAACAATTCTGCAGCTATAACTGACTTGCAACCTGTTGATGGTTCAGGCTGAAGACATCACTACCTGCTTAACACTCCTGTAGAAGAAAAATGTTTTAGTAGATCAAGTCTTAATGGATTTTGCTGAGCTCACATCAAGGCTGTTAGTAAAATAGACAGAGAAAGTCAATACTCTAGGAGGATATATTGAATAGGAAGTTCCTGCTTTCTCGCTATAAACATGAATTCTGAGGATCCAACTTTTCTTTTACTTTAACATGATCATAGCAAAGGTTATAAAAATAGTTGCAAAGGACTTTTAAGAAGAAATCTAAAAAACCTTATATTTTTTAGACAGCCATAAGTGTGTGGGGAGAAGTTTATATTATTTAGCAGATTTTAGTCCTGGCACCTGCCTTTCCAGTGCTTTTGTTTTAAGAATTAGACTCAGACAAAGCAAATGGGAGTTTTCTTCAGAGTAGAAGTACTTGATTAACAAGATTTTAATAAAGATTATTTCATCCATTTGATGAAAATTGTTTTTATTTCTGTTGATTAAAATGTTAAAAAGCTTGAAAGCATTTGAGATGATGGGTCAAACTTGCGTTGTAACTGTGTGGGCTCACTTCTCCAAGTCCTGGGGGGAATTCTCCCAGAGAAGGGTTACAATATCAGTTCTCTTTCACTGTAGGAATTACTCCACAGTAGCAAGTATGTGGCCTTGTTTTGTGGAATGTTGTAGGGTTAAGGTTGCTCTGTGTTTGAGCACTTTGAAGTGCTCTTTCATATATTTTGTCTGTTAACATATTGCTTCTCCATAGGGTGACCCTGGGCAGCCTGGAAATCATGGTTACCCTGGTCAGCCTGGTCCAGATGGTAAGCCTGTGAGTACTAAAAACTTAGTCATATATTGTAAATGTAAGATTAACAGGAGAAAAAACAGGCACCAGGGATACCAAATTTTCAGATTTAGATGATTTTGTCTTCATTCTTTGAAACTGTGAATGTCACTTAAGTGCTATCTGCATGTAGCAGTTCTATGAATATGTTAATCGTATTATTTTTGTTTCAAGCTAAAGTATTGTAAATATGAGTTAGGTACTGCTCTAAATCAGAGAACAGGCTATGAGTGCTCCTGTTGGTCTTTGCATAATTTTGCAGCACTTAGCACCTTCAGTCTTTACTCCTTAAGAACTGGTTCATTAGAAAGCACTACAGGGCAGCTAAAATCCTATCTGTTTTTTTCTTAGGGATTGCTACTCATGTTTAAGCTTGCTATGTTTAGTTTCTTTGTAGGCTACGTCAAGTAGTCCATCAAAATATATAGATATAAATTAAAATGTTAAAAATATAGCTGTTTTTCAATTTTGAACATTATGTGTTAAAACATACATCATAAAATGTATAAAAACATATAAAAATACTTATATTTCTCCTACCCTAGATTTTACTTTTTAAATTGTCATTCCATTAATATGATACTAGGATGATAAAGACTGAAAGAAAGTAGATGAATTACATATGTCCCTAAAATAAAAATGACAGATTTGGCAATGGCTTGTCTGGTCTTCAAGGTTAAAATTGTTTGTTGTAATAAAATTTTAATAGAAGCAAACAAATATGGAAAAGTAGCCTAAGGTTTATTTCAAAAATATATTAGGTCTCTGAATCTAACAGAAAACCTCTAAGATATTGACAGCTAAGCTTCTGTGTTGACTACAGGTTCGTTAGCAGCCTGCAGTCTCTATCATCACAGTGGTGATATGGTGTGTTAAGAGAAGGCAGGTCAAAAGCCAGGAGACTTGACCACTCATTCCTTTTCTAAGAATGTTGTTTACTATGCGTTAGAAGCTATTTTGTTTATATAAAAAAATAAAGGAAAAGGAAAAAAAGGTTGGGACAATTTAAAAAATTGCTTCTAAAAATAGAATAATTTCTCTGCTTAGATTGGCAAGATTAATGATGATACTGTAACTATTGACAAGTCTTTACCAAATCTGCCCTTGTTTATCAATTCTAGTACTTTAGCACATTATTCCTACTAACAAGGCACTACCCACCAACTTTGATGGCTTCACAAAAACAACTAACATTCAATTTTTGTTAAGAATTTTTCATACTAGTAATACATTCATTTCTATGCCACCTAAACAGTGGAGATTGATACTTATTTGGATATATTGTCTTGTCAGGGTAATAAGTATTACCAATTACAAAGAAAAAACTCCATTCTGTACCCTATAAAATGTTCACATTTATCCTGTTTTGTTCCTTAGTTATGTGTTGGCTTTTCTTAGGGATGGCACCTGGTTAATTTAATTGTGATGATTCCATTTGTAAGCAGAGCTAATTTGACAGGAAAATAGGCACTGAAAACAAGAAATGGATCTGGGTTTCCCTTTCCCCATCCACGACGTGGGGGAGCCCAGCTCTAGTTCCTTCTCCGTCTGAAGAACCATTTCCGACGTCTTGGTGGACGGGGAAAGGGGACTCCAGTGACAGGGTTTTTCAGGCCCCGAGCCTGGAGGGGAGAGGTGCCCTCCCCTCCCCCCACCACCCACGTGGCTCCGTGGCAGGCACAGAGACAGCACACCGGGCGTGGAGAGGAGGCAAGAGAGAGTTTATTGTTGGGAAGGGGTTTATAAGGCTTTTAGGAGGGTCAAAGGGGAACCAATCACGAGTTCAGGGTCACACAGAAAAAACCATCAGGTAAAGGGTCAACAGCCAATAGGAAGGGGTTAAACAAAGGACCAATGGGACACCTCAGGACACCTTTCCCAGGACACTCCTGCATGGGAGATAACAGTTGCTGTGGGGGGGTGTTGGGAAGAAGAAACACGTGTTTGCAAAGGGACTACAAAGAGCCATTTTAAGACATGTTTAAACAAGTTTCTCATCAGGTATAGTGCTACAAATGGAATTGTTTCTAAAACTGAATAATTCCCTGTTTGAAATACGAGACGTTATATTGAAACCTGGCCATGATGGCCCAGATGAGAATTGAGTACATGAATTTTTCAGTAGTTCCACAAGCAAAGATCCTTATTTTTTCTGTGGTATAAAAACATTTTTATACTTTTGCTTTGGTCTTAAATAGCTTTTGATAGCTGTTACCTTCAGAGTTTTTTAAAACTAGAATTAGAGAAGACAATCTGAATTGAAATTATCAGTGCTTTAAAATACTGCATTTTGGTTCTAAACAATCCTGAACATACAGGTTTTAAAGTATTCTAAGATGGGGAAGTGGATTTAATCAGAATAAGTTTTCAGTTGATAGTTGGTGGTGCTTAAGCTTATGAAGAGCAGTTCTGATCTCCTACAGAAGACAGGTATACAGACTGTTTGAACCTGGAGTTGCATGGGAGGAGGTGTCCATCACTGTTTGACCATGCTGATTTCTGGAAGGAGGTTTGCAGTATTGATAATCATAGCAGAGCTGTCTTTAATCCAGCTAAGTCTGATATTCTGGCAAAGCGATATCATGTAAGCTTTAACGAAGGCAGAATGCACTGGGTATCGGTAGGGAAATGCCAGTTTCCCTTCTCTCTTTTAAAAAATAGACTAAGACTTCATTTCTGAAGCATCTAGTCAGCTGCAATAGTATTGTTCTAGAAACAATTTGTTGCGACTCTTTCATACTTTTATGAATAGGTTTCTACTTCAATGCTGTGTGTTTTCCCGTAGGCACTGAAATTTGTAACAGCATGACTCATGAAGGAGAAATAAATTGATACTCTAGACTTTCTGTAACTTTGTAAACTGGCAGTTACAGCTTCTTTTTTCCTGCGAGTGAGTCATAATTTGCATAGATGGGCATTCTCTGAACATAAAAAAGATTACCAAAAGTATCTCAGAATGAGAATCAAAAAGCCCCACTAAAGGAGAAATTTCACCACTTTGCTGAAGTTCATATGTTATTTGAAATGCTTACAGCAAAATCCTATAACTTTATTAACTCAGTAATGTTTTTGAAATATCAGCTGCAGTTTTTGCACTTGTTCTTTGTAAGGACATAATTACAAAACTATTAGATCATCTGCAGGTCTGGCCAGTACATTATTGTTCCTTACAGTAGATTATTGAGTGCTTTCCAGGCAAGCTTTTAGCTGTGAATGGTGGGAGACCCTTTAGATACACTGTGCAGGAAAACAGATTCCTCTCACTGTCTTTCTGTTTTACTTATGTATTTGCTAATATGACTTGTATGTTTTCTGTGCTGTCAGTGCTTTTCATTGTTTGAGAAAACTGTGCTCATATGAGTCTGTTTAGCTGTATCACCTGGGGAACTCTGAGAAGCAAACTCTTAATTCAGACAGCACCATAGGCTTACAGGTAGTTGTGTAGTCAATCTTTAATCAAGTGGCTTTTGAGTGAAAAACTTTTCCTGCAAAATCAGTCTTTTCTGTTCCCAAACGCATTTTTATTTTCTACTCTGAAGTTATTCCAGTTTGCCTATCTGGTATTCATTTTCTTTGAACAGTATAAGTAGTCAACAAAATGTTGACTTCCTCTGAGAAAGGTTTTAGGCATGCATTTATATTACTATATGTAACTGATTTTTTGATTTGAGGTCTTAGTGTGGGTGTTCAGTCGCCTTAGATTGAAAAGGCTTCCATCAGTACAGTATTGAATGTAGATACCGTCCTGATCATCGAGGTCTGCAGTGGCCCTTTGGAGCATCATGCTAAAAAAGATTGTGATGATGCCACCCTTGTGGCCCACACAGAAGCAGCTCTGCAGCGTTTAACATCCTGCTTTGCAGACGCTGCTGAGCTCTTTGGACTGGAAGTCAGCTTAAAGAAGACAGAAGTTCTCTATCAACCTGCACCTCAGGAAGTCTTCCATCATCCCCATATCACCATTGGCCAGTCAGAGCTTAAATCAGTCCAGCAGTTTAATTACCTAGGTAGCCTCATCTCCTCAGATGGTAAGATTGACAGAGAGATAGACAACAGGTTAGCAAAGGCATATAGTGCTTTTGGAAAACTCCACAAAAGAGTATGGTGTAATAAACACTTGAAGAAAAGTACCAAGATCAGTGTTTACAAAGCCACTGTACTGTCTACTCTTTTATATGGTTCGGAATCATGGGTCATCTACCGCCACCACCTGCATCTCTTAGAACACTTCCATCAACGCTGTCTCCGTACAATCCTAAACATTCACTGGTCAGATTATGTGACCAATACATCTGTTCTAGAACAAGCAGCAGTCACAAGTATTGAGGCCATGTTGATGAGAACACAGCTGCATTGGGCAGGACACGTCTCAAGGATGAAGGACCACCGCCTCCCTAAGATCCTGCTCTATGGTGAACTTGCCACCGGCTGCCGCAAGAGAGGAGCCCCAAAGAGAAGATACAAGGACTCCCTGAAACAACATCTCAGCCTTGGCCATATTGATCACCATAACTGGTCTACTCTGGCCTCCAATCGGGAGGCCTGGAGACACACCATCTATAACGCAGCTGTCTCCTTTGAGAACACACGCAGGATCACTCTCGAGGAGAAAAGGCAACGCAGAAAGAATCGTGTCTTGCAGAATATACCACCTAAGGAGTCTTTCTGCTGTGCCTTTTGCAGTCGGACATGTCTATCTCATATTGGCCTTATTAGCCACCAGCGTGCCTGTAGCAAATGTGGATATAGCCTTTCCCAAATCTTCATTCGCGAAGCCTAGCCATGATGATGTGATGTAACTGATTTTTTAGGTAAAACATCAAAGAAAATTTAGTTTATTGGTTTTGGACTGGCTAGATTGTTCTGATAGGTAAAGTTAATTTTAGTCCAGAAAAATTCAAAACAATTCCTGTTAATACCTTCAGTCTTACCAGAACATAATTATTCACCTGGTGTTACCCAGTAAAATTATTTTCTGTAATATT